GCCCTATGAATTCAGTCATAATTGCACCATTGTTTTTCGTTTCATCAAATCTGGTATCTTTTTATTAGCGAGTGGAATATCGTATACATTATCAACCGCATAATCACTCGTGTCGAATCTTTTAATATCACGTTTCATGATATCGTATACGTCGTCGCACTCGATGTGATAAATTAAACTATCGGTATCCGTGTACATCCTTTACATTTCTCACCATACAATGGTGACATGTAATCGTAATTAAATTCATACAAACATGTCTTTGATATGTTGACAATGCACATACCTACATAGATTGTCGAACTTCACCTCGAGTTTATGCAATTCGATCGCGATCAAGTTCTCCGAAAAAACGCTTTGACTGTGGAAATTTGATTTCGCAATCATTGCCTCCGCGCCATATCTTCCCTCCCATTTTGTTAAAAGTTTAACATCGACGTGATTGCGCACATTCTCTATTTTGCCAAAGACTTATTCATCAATTTATAAATAAATAAAATTCATAAATTTATAAATTTTTCTCGAAATAATTTTTAGCGAGTGTTCTAAATTTTGTATTGAGTTCGATATACTCCCAGAGCCATGGAGATTGCGAAAATTGCAATACGCGATGTATTTTTGTAACGCGAAGACCGTGACGAATACATTACTATAGGTTGCGATAATGTATGACGTAACGTTTCTTATTGTACAAGGTTGCAAGGAATTTGTCCTGTCGCTTACCGGATGGTTTATCGCGCGTTAGACAAAACGATAGATTAATGTGCGCGTCGTGAAGATGTTCTGAGTACTCTAAATCTACCTCGAGAATGTAACCGATAGGCGAATCTAGTGGTGTTGCGTTTATGTTATAATTGGACACATCGACGATCCATCGAAAATTTGCGTAAGGCAATGATTGACACATTGCCCAACCGTACAAGTTGTTAACATCAAATATATATAAGGTATGACGATGGTTTCGATGGATCGTATGACTGCATGTACTTGTTGTTGGCTTGTGCGTATCGGTTGGAACATTGATTTAGACCATCGCGTATACCGCGTTCGATGAACATGATCATGTCGATGTTGGTGAGCAGTTCGAAATTGACGCGATATGCTTCAACATTGCGTCCCACGTAAAACCCGGTAGGATATAATAGTACGCAGGATCGAGTCCATAACTCGCGATGCAACTATCACAAAAATTTTCAAAGATATCAGCCAACAACAAGATGTCAGTCTTGAAGTATAAATCGCTGTATTCGCCGAGCGTTCGGATGGAGAAAACCGCTGCCATACGTTGCCGACGTGCGCATAATCGCTTTCGGACACGGTGTCACCTGTCAATGAACTGTAAAATGATTCGCGTGATGGTAAACATAACTCCAACTTTTCGACGCAGTCAATGTACTCGTACGGAAAGATGCCTTTTCGCGTCAGTAAATTAAAATCTTGTGTCGATAAATTTTGAAACTCGCATTGCAATATTCGTAGCTTATCTTTATTCAAGAAGGATGCCAGTTTATCGAGACTGGTATTGAGAAATTTGAATGAATCAATAATCGTAATTTAACACAATTTTTCTGATCATTTTTGTCTTCCGTATCTTTGACATTTTGTAAACAAAATGTATTTTTCTTTTGTTATTGGAAGTAATTCTACTCGTCCTTCATGCTGTAACTATTTCCGTAATGATAAAATACGCGTCATAGCCGGATAAATTGTGAAAAACTATAGGAATACAATGCGAGTCTTTGTAATTTAAATTACAATTTGAATGCGCGGGACCTCTAAATCGACCGGTTAGATGGCAATGATTGCGTACCTGCGTGTCATCTGGAACGAACGGTTTTTCGCATACGTGACAGTAAGTAGCGTATTAAATTTTTCCCAATCTTTTCGCGTAAAATTTGCTATAGGGACATTAGCGGACAAAATAGTCTTTACGCGATGCGCTAAACTTTCCTCGGCAAATCACACGACGCAATCCTTATCGCGACGAAACCGATATGTGGATAGTGAGTTATCATACGAACAGCGTACATAATATCCTATGCTAAATACCCGATGGTGCTAGTACGCGTAGCTTGATGTTTTCAGATGTCCATTTTCCATCTTCTCCAGGATGCATTCCAAGTCCGCGTACACGACAAACGGAACTCGTTCTTTCCTGTTATAATTATTGAAACTGAGTCATTTGTCCTCACACGGTAATTTGATGGCACAGTCGTTCATCTCTGTACAGTCTATGATGTGAGCTTCCAATTTTTCACTCATGCTAAAATAGTGTAAACATCTGCAAGAAACATAGTTGTTTTAGTTTTTTTAAAATGAGTATAAAATATTTCTCAACTTATTAAAATATATATACTTACCGGTCACAAAAAAATTTCTTGTGTTCTTTTTTGTTGAGTTGCGAGCCTATAAGGCGGGACAAATTCTTGATCCACACGAAATGTCCCGCGTTATCGTCCCGCGGATCCTGCACATACAGCAGATTGACATGCTTTTCCTTCTTCGTATTGATAAGACGTGTCGGAAGGATCGAAAGTTTTTTCTTCTTTTCGATGCAGTATACATTTATGGATATGTTGTTGAAAAATTCAAACTTTTTAATTTGGTCCAACGTCATCGGAACTCAATGTTTTGAAAATTGAGTACCGACGTATAATGTGGATACGAGGATTCTCGTTCTATGTCTCTTTCAATTGGAAGAGCCGCGACCACTGACCATGCAAAACACGCATTGTCCATAGACTATACGTTGATCATCGCTCTCTTCATCATAATTTCCTGCGGTAACTGAATGTAACATCCTGCATGCAGAGAATTGTGTTTGTTTATTAACAGTTAAATTGAGTATACGCGATAATGCCCACCCGCTATCGCGTTCCTGAAATTCTTCCAGGGATGCCAAGGTAGGCTCAATAACGCGCAACTCGTACCACTCGTGTAAATTGGACGAACGAAAGAGTTCACAGTTTCTCGTGTTGACATTTTTATTTGCACATTTGTCATTCGCAACAAATTCACCGTTAAATACTGTATTCACCTTAATATTGTTATGTTTCTGTATGATATTTTGCATACGCTCAAACACAATTTCTTCGCATCCTCGAGAAATTAGCGAGGTTCGATGTGCTTCGTATTAATGACCGCATCAGTTAAAATACAGCTTTCAAACGCCGTATTAATCTCGCGCCATCTGAGGCCTGCGCTGAATCCAGCACCCGCGGTCATCGTTGGCGTACCGAATCTTTCAAATTTTCGAGTCGCGCTATTCGTGCGACCAATGATTGTCTAATACTAATTAATAATCGCGAGCGTTTAATTTGACCATGCTCTTCTAGCGATTTGATATACTTGTCGCATCGTTACTCCCACGCGACGTACTCTTCTCTCGAATTCAATCAGATAGATTGTTCCAAAAGAACACATTCGGTTTGCTCCATATTAATTATCTTCTTTGATGTATAACTCTCAACTTACAATTCGACTAATGACAGAACGTGTCACATGTCTTTTCATTATATCTTACCAATGATGATTGTATCTCCTTTAGAATATTTTTGCATGTGGCATTTAATTTCAGAATGTATCAAATGATGTATAAAGATTTTATTCTTGTAAAACGGTCTCGCTTTCCCGCGCGGAGAGCGGTCAGTCGATTGCCAGGAGGGGAAGCGAGGACGTTGGAGACAGAGAGTTGTTATTAAATTGTTAGGCGATAATTATAACAAATAACGATGCTTTATTTAACCAATAGTGGTGCGATGGAATGCACCGAATCTTCGCGTCAATTGTTCGTGGCCGTGGACGGGCGAGACGGTGATCGGCGCGTGGATAGCGCGTGAATATAAAATAAGATATCGCTCGGGCGGTCGGCGCGATACTGATCGCGGCGCGCAATTCGGTGGCGCGCGCGGCGGCGGCGGTGTCGCACGTGTTCGTCGCGGGCCTTTAAATCGACGTTGATTTAAACGTGCACGCATGTCGCGGGTGTTATCGCGAGGGTGGATATTTCGCAAGGTTGTCGGATCGTTGAGATCGGAGAACGGGTGTGCCCGTTCCCTGCCGAGAGAGCTCGGCTGACGGAGGGTGTGCCCCTCGTCTGTCTGCGTGAATGCCGAGTGAACTCGGCCAGCCGGGGAGGGCCCCGGCTGCATGCGGAGAAGAAAGTGGCGGTGCCGAGTGTACTCGGCCGATCAGGGTGTACCCTGGTGCTCGGAGAGGTGGTATCGGGGAGAACCCCGATACTCGGCGGTGAAATCTCGGGCACGGCGGAGTCGGGTCGAGCGAACTCGACGCGCTGGGGAGACCTCAGTAACTCGCGGCTCGCGGCCGTGCGAGATACGGAAACGGCTTTCGACCAGGCCAAGCGAACTTGGCGCGTTTGGGAGAGCCCCAACAAATCTCAGGCTTGCTACCAGTTTCGAATGCTCGCTTCCTTGAGACGGACTCTCGAAAGACGAGCTAGGAACAGGAGTAAACGAGGAGTGAGAACTGTGGAGAGCGATGCCTTTTTATACTCGAGATCGATCTCGGTATTTTCGGTCGGATCGGTCGGATTGGTCGATCTCGGGGTTAGCCCTCTCCCCAGGAGCGGAAAAAGGATCGGGTATAATTAGTTTTTTGGTAGGGAAGGAATTCGGTGGGAAGGTAACGGCGCGGTGCGGGGGTGGTTACGCGCTTGTAGACGCGGTCGTGGCGCGGTGCGGGACGCTCGCTCAGTTGCGTGGCGCGGCGTCGGTGCGGCGCGGGACGTGTTCACGCTCGGTGGTACGGTGCGTGGCGCGGTACGGAGTGCGTTAGCGCTTGTTGGCGCGACGCTTGGCGCGGTGCGGGGAAATACCACGAATACATATGTTTTCGTGGTATTCTCCGACGCTTCGGAGTTCGCGTATGGATGTATTTAAAAAAGGAGGCATTACTGCCTCTTTGCGGCCACTGCCGCACTCCGCCTGGTGTTCGGCGGTCCTCGACGGATGGTCGGTCGGGGGAAATTCGGAGGAGGAATGGAGCGGAGGGATGCGCTCCGTTACACTTGACTTATGTGAAAATGCAACAATTGCGTTTTTAACACAATGATCTTATCGCAGAACACGTTGTAACGTGCCCATTGCTCTTAATATCATATTTCATACCATTTTAACCTATGTGAAATTGCAAATTTGTAATATTAACACGTGTCCGATCTCATCGCGAAAAACATCAATTGTTCTTAAAAAATATATATTTCGTACCATTGACCTATGTGGATTTGCAAATTTGCAATTTTAATACGTGAGGTGATCTCATTGTGACATGATAAAGATATACGCGAAATTCATTGCAGCAGCCATATATTGGTGCTAATATTATTGCAAATGTTGCAGTGTCTACAGTTACATCATATATCGAATGATGTACGTGTCTAAAGTAGATTTATTCTGTATAATTTCATCGCAGCTGCCATTCGTCGGCGCTTATGCAAAAATGCAAAATTGCAATTTTAATGAGAGTTATATTTCACATCTCGCGTAGTAGGAAAAAGAATAGAAGGGTATACAAATTAAAAAGAACTTCAACAATCAATTATTGCATTAATCGTTCTGTGAAAGACAAATAGTCTATATCTCTGTAAAAAGAAACAGCTCTTGAAAAAATGTACAAGGGAAGCTCTGTGAATTATTACACTTCGATTCAACAGAATGAGGCGTATAAAAAACAGTAAGTTTCATTACCACAAATCTTTCTTATACATTTTATATATTTTAATATATTAATAGCTTACTTATATATATTCTTTTCCTTACAGTATATCTTCTCATAATTCATCATCTTCGGAACCTTGTACATCTCGGGAAGAAGATTTGCTTTAACATCCACACACAGCTTATAAATATTTGGATATTGGAATCAACCTTTTGGGACCTGTATCCTATGTGGAATTATTGGTGATAATCGAGGCAATCAAATATTATTGCCTTATGTAATGTGGAAAACTCTCATCGAAAAATCGTGGATATCGAGCAACTTGTGAAATCAATTGCTCCTTCATCATTGTCGATTCATAATCTAATTATAGAACTTGTTCAAATGCGAAATACAAATATTGTAAAGTTTACATTGCGCGATACATGCTTGTACAGCCGTCAACCGTATTCTTTCTATTTGAATTTGAACATTGCGTCGAACATGTATATTACTGGCTCTATGAGAATATATATGGTGTCAGCGAAAAATTTAAACAATTTATAAACTTTTTACGGCAGAATTGTCTCACAGATAAACATATTGTAATAAAAACTTTATATAATAAAGTTAATAAGTAAGAATAAAAAAATAAAATTGGTTCTAATTCTATTTCTATTTCTTCAATATATTCTATATATTCAATATATTCTATTTTTCAATATATTATATATTACAATATTATTTACTATTATATGTGACGTTATATCTTCTTTTTTATTAATTCAATACGTACAACTTCACATGAAGGACATCTGTCAAA